TCGGCGAGGGCGAAATTAAGTTTGGTCTGGCATAAATACTCGCCGCCTTTCGCCGGCTTTACACAAAATATGCTCCGTTGGAAAATACTGAATTTCCCATTGAGAATTTTATTGCAAAAATGTTTGCGAAGGTACCGACTCAATAGTGGAACTGAAAACTCGTTCGTTCTGTATTTAAATTTTTACACTAAAAATGTTTTGTTAACATATTCAACTGGGAATATTTATGACTAAATTTGTCTCTTGAATTACATAAAAGGCTACATTATTTGACATATAATGTATTTATTGCTTGCTGACTTAAATGTGAACATTTAACAAAAACAGTCAAAACAAGTCACATACTTTTTTTTACGAAACTAGACATTTACACCTTTTATTATTTGACAATATCATTTATTGTCTATGTGATATGAACATTTGTTTTCAATAAATCAGTGATTACAGCATTATTTGTCATTTCTGTTGAATTCGACTATAAAATAGTTTAAATAGTTTGACTAAGGGACGCGCAATATCAATTCTACGTTATACATTTCCGTTCCGAGTAAGTTATTTACAGATATCCAATGTAATACATCCATTACAGTAATCAAAGTGGCAACAGTTTCGTTTATTCAAATGCCCGTCTCGAGCAGTTGAGGCGGAAAAAAATATGAATACGTTTTGGTCGCGTTCCGCGGAACTTTCCGCGCCAAATGAAGCATATTCCGCCCATAACATCCGCATTATTCACAAAACTTGATAAAGCTAGCTATACACGGATGATTCAATTGTTTTAATAATTAATTTTCCTTGATTTTTATAATCGGATGTTCAATGCTAACTAAAACTTTGTGTTTCATAACTTTATTTCCAATGTTATGGTGTAGGTTGCTTATAATAAAGCTAGAAGATTTGATCACCCACTTAAGCACTACTTGAAAAATATTTAAAATAAAAAGTTTAACTTGCGAATGTTAACAACTACAATATTCTTCAATAACAAAAAATCATTATGAGTTTCTTTGAAAACGTATGTTGTAAGTTTTGCATGGTATGGGAGGTTTTATTCAAATTTTTCTTAAAGAGCCGAGAGGGGGAGGCTTCTTAACTTTTTATATACATTTTAGCGGCCAAATGAACTGAAACTGTGTCTCACAGATGCTTTACAAAAACATTGTTTTGAAGCTCTAAAGAGCGGGGAAAAAAAAGACGGAGAAATTTCTTTATTCAAAATATAAAAAGTGAATGCTCTTGGATTCCGATTGTAACATGTTATTGGAATTGTAATAATTAAGAAATCGTTAAGATTATGTTAATTTTCAACAATTTCACAATTTAAAAATTTACTCTTTAATTATTTACGTAATACATTTTTAACTCTTTCACTTTTCCTTATCATTTAAAAACTGAATAAAAATACGTTTAATTGATAGTTATGGAGCATTATTAATATTGTATTTAACTACGTTGTCTAAATTTTTTTTTAATTTTCTGTGTTATATTGTCAACTGCGGTCAAAATACAATAATAAAATGTTTATATTTCTAGATTATTCCTAACAATCTCAGTTGGACAAAACACCGCTCGTGCTCGCCGCCTGCGACGCATATTTGAATATTTACGAATATTTTCAGACGGAAATCCATCATTTCCGCGCCCCGTTTTATATTCTAATACACAAACACAACTTAAAATTATTGTAAATTTATGCAGGACATTTAATAGTAGCGATTGTGGCGTTTAAATTGTTTTATAAAAAAACCTTACCAACAAACAAAACAGATATAGTAACTAGATAAGTAGATAACATAAAGATAGAATTTAAAATAAATAAATAAACATTATAAATGACTAGCTTTTGCCCGATGCTCAGTCCCTATAGAATTAAAAAAAAAACTTAGTAAGAACCCTATGTTCTTCCAGACTATCTACGTCTGTGCTAAATTTCATCGAGATCCGATAAACTGTAGTAATAAATATCCATCTATCCTTCTAAACATTCCCATTTATAACATTAGTAAGTAAGGTTGATTCTACAACCGTCATTGGCGTATTTTACGTATAATTTCATTGTTAACAGTCTACCAAATATACTAATCGATTCACTGAGTGATTAACCACTAACGTACATGTCTGTATAAAGTATAACTTAGGTAGGCTTGGGGAAACTTAGTTGCGCTTGATTTAACTGCAACATTTTTCCTCTACATCAATCATGTGGAAGGTATCGGATAGAGAGCCCTTGTCTTAGACCACCTGCCTCCCTATCCGATAACGCAAGGGTTGATAAAGGTCGACTTTATTTATTTTTCCCTCTTATATGTTAGTATTTATCTTGATGATATATTGGTTAAATTACTACAGTTAATCATTAAGTTTCTTCTGTATTTTTACATGACTATCTCATTTTCATACCGAAATTGTCAATGCAATAACGACTTTGAAGAACTCTTATAAAAACATATAACGTTACTTTTGCATTTAGTCAGTCATTTGTCACTAATGACGACCTTAAGTTAAGGTTCGTGTTAACAATTAAGACCTGATCTTATGATGCTAAGACGACTCTTAAGGCAGTTAGATTAGAAAGTTTGTATGGATATTTGTTAGAACGTGTCTCCAGAACATTTTCATGGATTCTCTTTAGATATAGAACTTTATCTAAAAGTATGGCTTACTTAGGTTTTTTTAATTCCGTGCAAAGGAAGCCGCAGGCGAAATTTAGTAAAACATAAAGCTCTTCGTACTTCTCTTCAATTAAGAGACAAAATCAATTCCGTCGGCAATTCAATTTAGCAACTTTTATCTTCATCTGTAGATGTAAAAACGTGCACAAACAACGTCCCGTCTAATTCAGCTCCCCTCTCGCATACATTAGACGCTATTTGCTTTGCGACATTAACATTTTTATGACTAAAACTGAGAGGAATCACTTGCCGCTTGCAGAATACAGACAATGCACGCGACAACGAACTTGCCAAATGGCAGGAAAATATCAAAATGGCGGCGACTGTCGATGATCATTCTTGTTTACACAATTTGACACAAAAATAATAGACAGTACTTTTAAACAGATTTCTTATAACAGAACTACCTAAGAGAGATCAATTAACGACTGCTTTTTGACAGACGAACCAACTCACTACTAAGTATCCAGATAATCATAAAACTATTGCTAATTATATAAATATGTAGGGAATGAAGTTTCTTTTTTCTCAACGTAGGAAAATAATGGAAGAAGAGATTTCAAACGTTACTCTCACGTCCACGAAATTAACTTTAAAACCATTTATCTCGGACCAAAAATCACATTACGAAGTTTGCGACGCCTCCGCTATAATCTTCACGCATACATTAAGAGAGGTGTGAGCAGGGACTTAAACAAAATCATTATTCAAATCCTCTGAATAATGTTTTCAGAAATCGGGAGAGTTCCATGGAGTCGTTTTTGAATTTTAATACGGAGTCTAACAAGTTTCGAGTTGTCAAAGGAGATCGGTGCGTCTCAACGGCCGTGTACTTAGGAGCAAAGTGGACATGGCACTTGCATATGGTTAATAACGTTATAAAAACAAATGTTATTTCATAAGGAGAGAAAACCATGGTTTTATCAAGTATTTTAATAGCAGCAACCAACTTTCAAGTTTATTTTTTAATTTATTATAGTTTTTTTTAATAAAACAATTATATTTGTATTACAATAAAATCAAAATGTATTGGTAAGATTGCAATAAAATGTCATCATTATTACGAATATTTAAAACATGAGAAACATTTAAATCATCCAACTTATTGTAATGTCCTGTTTGCTCGATAGTTTGTTAGCAGACGATCAAAGCAGCGTGATCAAAGGACGTAGTGTCCAGTCGGGACTTGGTAATTACCTACCTCCACGGCATCTCCTCGAGACTAGTAACTATTAAGAATTATGTAATAATTTATAGTGTTACATAAGGTCTACATTTATTACTTTTACGTTTTTTACTAAAGCTTTTACAGTTTCCCTTTTATAAAACCAAAGTGAAAATTTTGAAAATCTTTTTGAATTGTACTGTTATAAATGCGAATATTTAGATGAATGGATGTTTGTTACTATCTATTTCCAGAGCTGATTAACCGATCTCGTTTACAGATTATAACATTGTGTGAAAGAACATATATGCTACTTGCTTTTTTATTTTGCGCAGGAGATATCATGGGCAAAAGCTGGTTTTTACTACTTTTGTAACACACTTGTAAATAGTAGACGTGTTTTAAATGCAATATTTTTTTGTGTTGAATTTGTATTTACTATATTATACTTCATTACAAAACATCATATAAAAATTATACGTAAGTAAAACCTTATGACATAAATTAAAATTATTAACAGCCCCACTGTAATTGGCTACATTTTTATCTGGTGGTGGCCAAAAGGCATCCAGTTAATTAAAACAAAATTAAATTCGCAACAACAAAAAGATATCGATACTCAGATTGTTTTCTCGATACGAAGATGCTCCTATAGGGGGACGTAATCACAATAATTGCTATTGAATTATACAGCAGGTTAAATACTCGTTACAAAAGGGAAACTTGTACAATCAAATCGTCGCTTCAACTTCAAAGATACTCGACAGATATCGCCGCTTCTTGCGCTCGCTGATATATCGAGTTTCTCGTTGTTGAAGCGAATAAATTTTGAGCAAAACGTCTCGCGGATTTGGTAGATAATATTGATGACGTAAAGACCGCCCGCCGCTCGGGCGATCGCCGGTCACTCGGTCATTACTGCCCTCCTCTATGAAATATTTATGACAACTTCCATAATAACGTCGGCGACGATATCATTATACTTTGTGATGGGGGGTGTCGGGCGGGGCGGAATTTCTGAACGCTCCTTACCATTGCAAAGTCGCAATCGCGCTTGCCAGACCTCCTCTTATAGCAATACAATTTTTTTTTTCAAGATTTCCAATAGATAAATACGATATCAAATATTGAACTAAACTGATTCCCATGGCAGCGCATCAAACGGTTTCAGTCCGGGATTAAAATTGAAATGTTCCGGCGGCTGTGCGCAGACGCGGCACCCCCGGATCGCCCATATTAACTTGTTAATTAGGTCCATAATACGACTTGCAGATGAGCTACAGAGTTGTGAAGTTGAATACATAAAAAGCCCTTTTCAGCGATCGCATGCATTGTCGGGGCGAGCGGCCGGCTGCGGAGGCGTCCGGGGAGGCGAGCCTATATCGTGTTTCGTACGTCCCACCAGCCACCAGAAGTTTGCCTGTTCATAAATAAACGCGAACGGTATTCAACAGCCCTTGGTGCTGTATGCATAACGAATTTGAAGGAGGCAAACTTGGAGGCTCTGCTGGCTGGGATGGAGTATAAAATTCAGTAACAACATGGTCGAGGTTTTCATTCGACGGGCCGCTGCCGATGGAGACATAGCTCCGTTATGCTAATTACAAACTAATTAGTGATATGTTGTCTATTGCCTATGTGTTTTTTGTCTATGGTGTTAGTGTATTGTTATCTGTGTTTATTATTGTGACTTGAGTTGAGCTTTTATTGTTACAAGTGCAAGTACAAGTGAGGATATGTAAATGAGTTTTTAATTTATGGTAATAAGTTAGTATTGTGGCCATTGCGATGGTTTACTGTGTAATGAAGCGTGTTCTTCGTCGACGACTGCGATGGCGGGAAGTGGAGCGGCCATCTTGCGGTCGCTGTCAAACGTGTGAGTATTGTGCCACCGCTAGGCGGCGTGCGTGTCGCTTTACACTGTCGAAATAATATGGCGGCGTGAACTGCCCTGTTTTGAATATTTTTACATGAAATTTATTAATGATTTTACAAGACATTAGAGCATTTTTATTGCGACGGACCTTCTTTTGATGTTTTAAAGTTTTTTTTTTTTGCTGTCGCGTCGTTTTAAATATTAAAAATACACTTTACCAACATTAAGTATACTTAATTATAATTTTAATTTAGTTGAAATAGGAGTTTGTTGATGTTATTTAATATTTACTTTTATTTTGTACAGACTATTTCTATTTACTTTAGAATTTTTGTTGATCTACATAGGTATACTAGTAGAGAAGCTCAACCTCATATAATGAATAAATCCTTTTGTTTTATATAAGGCATTAGTTACATGAATTTAAACAGTCAAAATGTTGACACTTTATTTAGTATTTTTTTATTTATTTATATTAGGCTTATCAACATAATTACATGATTTTACATCGATTTCTTTCTTGTCTTAGTAATCCAGACACACTTGGCATCATGTAATTACAATTATAGATAAACACTTCTTGCTTTTATAACTTACATGCATAAAAAATGATTACGCATGTAATGCGTATGCGATATAGTCTTATCTTTTACCTTTACAATAATTTAATGAAACCATTTCTTGTTTATAAGCATATTTTGAACTGGAAGAATACTGTGAAGTGTGTACAAACGATATCGGAACTTACCACGTCCATATTAAAAATCTGTCGCGACCATCAGGGCACTCCAGCTCAAAAATTCCCATTTCACAGCGACGACTGGCTGCGGAGGTGCGAATACGCTCTTGACACGTGATTTTCCGCTCTAGTGCGTCGCCACCCTAAATTTGGATATGTCAGCTTCCAATATTTGACAAATTTAATTTTACATCAACCATCCAATCGCAAACCTTATCACAACGGGTTAAGATTCAAATTTAAATGTTTACGTTTATCTGACTGAATTGGAAACCAGTTAGTCCATGTCAGGTCACGATGGGTTATCCAATCCCAGGTGTACGGAGCGTTGATTCTGAATTAATACATACGTAAAAATTCGGATTTATTTTCGTTGCAACTGGGATTCAGACTAGATGTAAAATATATTAAATAAATCATAAAAAATACTATAGTCAGAAACGCCAAAGGTTAAGTCTGTCCAGTGGTAACAATTCTTAAGACACAAAGGGATTAGTCAAGAGAGGCCTAAAAAGGAACGCATCTTTTACAATTTGTACATCTGACTAATATTGTAAATACAAAAGTTTAGATAAGTGGATTATATATGGATTGGACAGTTTGTTAGAGTTTGTAGCCTAAACGACCAAACAAAACTCGATGAAATTTGGCTCAGATGTAGAGAATAGTCTGGAAGGACACATAGGCTACTTTTGATCCCGAAAATAGTAACTGTTCCCGTGGGATACCTTGATTTGTTTTTTCTTATTTACTCCGTAACTGCAATGGTTCAACATATCTTAGTGACATCTGGCAGAAATAAAACAAAGTCTGGAGTAGCACATAGGCTACTTACTTTTATTTTGATTCCACGCGGATGTAGTCGCCTGCGAGAATTTGTATGAATCAAAAGATTAACGTCTTGCGTTTACATACATACCTATTAAATCCTTCGTTTATCTTTAACATACCTATTAAGACCTTAATGTTTTAAATCTTATAAACAGGTGCAAAATGTTTTCCGGAACCCTTCAAACGTTCAAGCCGTATCGCACGTGTATATTTTATAGCATTTTAACCTTTGAAATGAAATAAAATTAAGAATGAAAATATCTTTATTGCACACTAAATATAACTACAATCAGTGTTGCCTTGGCGACTTAACTATTATAGGATTCCTAGTTATATGGATGTAGGGATAGGTCGTCACAGCGTAGGTAATCCTCCCGCAAGATGGACTGATGACCTGGTCAAGGTTGCGCGAGTCACTGCATGCGGGTGGCACAGGACCGGGCATTGTGGCAATCAATGGGGGAGGCCTACGTTCAGCAGTGGAAGAACTATGGCTGACAATGATGAGAAATAATAAAATTAACTGTTATTAGTTTTAACGAGTAATATAAAAAAATTACAAAGTACTCCAATAAATAAGCTATAAATAACATAAAAGTGATAATTTAATATTTCCTAATAACTTAAAATTATACCATGTAATCTAAACTTAGAACTTAACTGTAACTTTCAATTTAAAGAAAAAAACTTTAGCTGAATGATTTATTGCCATTTTTGTTACAAAAAGTCTTTTTAATGCAACTTGTAGAATGAACATTAAATAAATCAAATGCAATTTATGAACAACAACGCCGTCGGTAAAAATAACGATTTATGTGTGAAATTAAGTGCCATGAAACCCTTTGTTTACGCGTAACAATGCGATTTTCTTCATTTCTTTATGTTGCCATTTAAATTATAAAGTGTGTAGTTAATAAACGGTATGTAAAATTATTCAAATATTAATTTTCTTCTTATAAATACGTTGTTTACATTATTTTATTTAAATTTTTGGGTAACCGTGAACTTCGGTACAATATAGCAATGCTTTCGTGATAAATTTTACCCAAACTGTTCTATCCAAAGACACGATGGATGATTGAACGAAAAAACTTGGTCTAAATTCGTTTTTATGTTTTTGTAGTTTTAATATTTTAATGTTTTCGATGGATGTTTCTACAATTCTTTTGAACTTACTAACCCAAAAGTGTAGTTCATGTAGCCCAATTTTACTTTCCTTTCCATCCTTTATTACAAGGAGAGGATGGGAAAGAGAAGTAGATTTGACGCGAAATGGTCGTATAAGGATGTTTCATCCTTTATCTGTCGGTTCCCCTTTTCTGCGTCAAAAGGTTAGCAAAGCATCTGCAAATGCGTTGCTTTGCTAATGTCGCGATTTAGATTACCGTTTGTCATTTGTCACCTTTTTTGACCGACTTCCCAAAAGAAGGAGGTACTCAATCCGTCTGTATGTTTTTTTATTTACTTTTTTATGTGTGTTACGGCATAACTCCGCCGCTAGTGGACCGATTTTGATAATTCTTTTATCCGAAAGGTAATGCTTGCAGGTGGGTCCCGTTTTTTTGTTTGATTTTTCACTATAAAATATTACACCCCCGAGTTTCCAACCACCAGGTCTTCATGGATCACTTTAGATACCTCTGGTTACATTTCAGTGATTACGTTTTTTAGTTTTGTAATTACACAAGTAATGTTATGTGGGCGTTTCCAATCTCCTTTGCATATATACTAAGCGTGAAATTGATGCATTGAGAAAGTTGGATTGCGATGCTGTTGTAATGTGCAATGTTTTGTAATTATGAATATGCAAAACTAAAATGGCACGAAAAAAATAAAACTTGAGTAACTGTTAAAGTTAGAAACGAACCTGTATGTAAAATCAACGGTTAATAAAGTGAAGCATGAATGTTGCAGAAGTTATGCTACGTATAACTATGAATTGGAAAGTAATTTTTCTTTTACCGATTTGTTAGAAAATATATTCTTTATACGCGGATTGGAACTTAATGTTGGGGTATTGTGACAACATTGATGGACATTCCAAAAAGCGTCAGACGGTATGCAGTTTCCATATAAAATTTACATGATGAGATGAGATGGAAGTGTTGCATTTGCTGACCAAGTTTACTTACTATATAGACAAGAGCAATTAATATGAATTCCATGAAATAGACTTTTAGGAGTTCTATGTTGGTCCTCACTAAATTCTATTGCACGTTGTTCAAAAATAGCGCCTTGAGCGAGATGTCTACAGCGCCCCATTTTTTTCCATACCAGGGTTACCTGATACTATGTTCGCAAACCTGTAGCGCCCTTTACTGTCCACCGCCTTGGACAATCATCCAACCGCGCTACTTTACAGCCGACACTTATAGAAGCCATCATTTTTATGTTATAACGTCCATCGTTTGTTTTACCGCTGATTTCTCTTTAGTTTTCTCAATGCATAGTCTTTGTCACCTAATATGTAGAATTGTGACATGGTATAGTTTACGTAGTGTAGGTAAGATCACGAGCGGCGTCTGCGGCGCGTAATACCCGGCCTGGCCCGAGGCGTCCGCGCCCAGCCACGGCGAGCCACGCTGCATCTCTCCCACGGTGCAACATATATAGCGTGTTTTTAAATTGATAGTCATACATTTATGATTTGCTAATTGAAGTATGAAATCATAACGCCAATCAAAAATTAAATTAAAAGATTTTTACATTGCTAATCCCCTTTACATCTTACTAATCTTACTAATATTATAATTGCGAAAGTTTAGTTGGATGGATGGATGGATGTTTGTTAGCGTTTGTAGCCTAAATCTCTATGAAATTTGGCACAGGTTTAGAGCATAGTCTGGAAGAACACATAGACTACTTTTTTTCCCGGGAATAGTTACGGTTCCCGTGGGATTCGTTAATTTAGTTTTTTAATGTTTACTCGATCATTCTGCAACGGTTCAACATATCTTATTGAAATTTGGCACAGATATAAAACAAAGTCTGGAGTACACATGGGATAAGCTTCATCCCCGAGAAATGTCCGGTTCCTGAGGGATACGTAACTTTTTGTAATTTATATAGTTTGTATGTTTTCTAATACTACGCGGACGAAGTCGCGGGCAACAGCTCGTATAAAATAACAAAAATAAGTAATGACCCTTGTAATTACAAAGATAAACAAATGTATTCCAGTTTAATTATTTGTACTGCTTCTCTTTCGTATTTTACTATTATACTTTGCAAATATTAACTGAATAAAATTCAGATCGTTTTAGTGTGTTAGCATGTTTATAATTTACTTAGCTAAACATCAATGTTTGTCTAATCTATGACAAGAAGTAGCAATACAGAAGTATAAAGCAATAGAAAATTAAACACGCATATACATTAGTCATAGAAACATGTAATGAACAATTACTTACTATTTTAACGATCATAAACT